TTAGCTTTTACTACCTCAGTGAGCTGACCCAAGAATTCCTGGTCAAGCTCCTCTGTTTGGGTAGGGGGTCTATAGTAGACTCCCACCAATAGGTCCCTTTCCCCTCTTCTGCCTTGAACCCTAACCCAAAGCACTTCAGAGTGCTTTGGGTTAGGGTTTGTTGCATCATTCGTGAAAGAGCCATGTCTGGGCAGTCTCTTGAAAGTGGCCATTGCCTAGGGGCCAGTACATGTCTCAGAAGGCTGTAGGTGCTCCACAGTACAGTGGGGCTTGCAGGACACCAAGGTATCCTCGTGGTCCTGTAAACCTCTGCCTACACCCCTCTTTGTCTCAGTCTGTACTGCACCTCCACCTGTATCCTGCCCGGGGCACCAGCTCCAGCATTCAGCTAATCCAGGCCATCTTGACGCTTTCCTCCTTAGCAGCACACTTTAGGATGTACCAGCGCATGTGTTGTGCAAGAACTGGTTGTGCTCGCACCATTCCAGGTGCACAAGCTGCCTTCCTTGAGGAGGCGCCTGGCCTCCTCCTTCAGAGCTCTCCCTCACAGTGACACCTGCAAAAAGCCAGGGGGCTGAGTGGGGCCGTTCCATAGGCACTTCTCATATTTTTAGCCATCGGTGTTTTTAAAACACCATAACCGCCCTGGTCAGTTGTTGCCTGGAGCACTCGTCCATTGTAACCAGTCCTTTTCCATTGTCAGGGTGATAAAGGACTGTGCATCCTCGAGGTTTGCAAAATCTCTTCCTGCAGGCAGGGAGATAAAGGTAAAGGTTGAGATGGTGGAGCACTGGCCTAGAGAATGGAGTTCCTCTCTGCCTCTGCCATGGGGCTCCTACACAGCACCAGGCAGGAGACTTCAAACCAGCTTTCACAGCTGGCTGCAGACCTGTGCACCTTGCTGCGTGGCCTCTATCTGCAAATGGAGTCACTGGAAGCTGTGCATTTAAATGTGGAGTGCGGTATAATCCTGAGCACTTTGGAAAAAAAACAGGTCCTAGATGCCATGAACTGGGGACCAGAAGGAGGAGACGTGATAGCCTAGTCCCCTTCTGCTTCCGTTTCCTGTGTGTAGAAGAGGGGTTGCACAGTGCTGTACAAATAAATGACTCGGGGAAATGCGGCGGAGCTTTAGTGCTGAGGTGCCGTGACCCCAGGAGGAAGCAAAGACCTCTCTTCAGAGCCGGGCTGTGGTAGCATGTGGGTCAGAAGGCCTAGGCCATATGTTTGACAATGAAAATCAAAGCTTTTCATAGCGGCCTTCTCCTTCCATGAGCACAGAATGAGGCGTGGGGCACAAGGCACATGCCCGTGCAGGCTGCGTCCCGGTCAGAGGCAGCCTTCATTCCAGTGGTAACTCTCGAGCACGTGCGTGTTCGATTGTGAGACTGCTGCATTAGCCCTGGGACGCTCGGTGGGTCTGTTGGACACACAGATTGGCTTGGTGATACCTGTTCTCTTTTAGGGGATGGACTTGCCATACCAGGCATTTTAGCAGCGCACATGCTTCTGACGTTGATTTGCACTGCTTCACTAGAAGGACCGGGCACTCAGAAACCACAAAAAGACAAATCGGTAGCAAGGGAGTCATTAGCTGCTCTCGGCAATCCTCTAAATCTTGGCTGGTCCAGTTACGAGTTCTGTGTGAACAGGCCGTGGCAGTGGTCCCCTAAACGTGACCAGGGCCCAGCAGCTGATAAATCTGACTGTCACCCAGGCGTGCCTGTCTTGCTGTGGAAGTCGAGTGCAGCTGAGTGTACCATTTAAAACCATTCTGCTTTGGTAGCTTGTGCTGTTGGCTGAGTTTGGCACTGGACCTGTCATGGTTTTTCACAGTGACTACCTGCTGATAGCCAGAGACCGGTTTGCTGCCAACAGTAGCGGTAGCTGCGTATCAGCATCGCCTGGCAGAGGGCAGTTGTAGAGTCGTATGGCCTGCAATTTCACACGTGCTGTAAGTTCAAGGAGGCTTGGCAGGGAACTTTACCTTCATTACCGGCACTTCATAACCCTTAAATTTATCGCCAAAAGGCCGTGCCTAAGGAGTGTTGTGCAGCACTGTGGTGAGTGGCCTGCTTTGGAAGAGGACCGGTGGGGCTTCACAGCCTCCCGTCTGTCTCCCTAGTCCCCAGTGTTGCCCCAAGCCCTATTTCCCCTTCCTCCAGATGCTTTCCTGCTTATGTGCTTTTCTGTCATATCATGAGGTAGACTTTTTCCCATTAGCCCTGGCTCAGCATAGCTAGTTACTTGCAGCTTGGGAGCCCTCCAGGGCAGGGACTGCATGGATTCAGGACAGCTATGGAGCCGTCTGTGTTTTGTGATGCTTAAAATACATCGTTCATAAGCTGCTGAGAGCAGCACATGTTCTGACACTGCTAACGGGCCTGTTCTTGGTCTCCAGTGATTCCTCACAAGATCGGGCGTGTCATTGAAGGGAGCCCGGCTGATCAGTGTGGGAAGCTGAAAGTGGGAGACCGCATCTCCGCAGTGAACGGCCAGTCAATTGTAGAGCTCTCCCATGACAGCATCGTGCAGCTCATCAAGGACGCAGGCAACGTGGTCACACTGACGGTGGTGGCTGAGGAAGGTAAGACCCATGCGGCTGCATGGCACAGCAGCACGGGTAGGCTCAGACTGACCCCAAAGTCCCCCTGTAGATAGTGTACAAACATCCCTGGTCTGGCTTGTGCCTTTTTCAAGCTAGGAAACTTAGACAGAGGCTCTGCAGACAGGCCAAAGCTGGGAGGCAGGAAAGGGCTAAACGAAGCTCCTGTCTGCCCTTCTTGCCCCCAGACTGCACAAAGCAGAGGGCAGGTTTTGCTGCAGAGACAAGGCACAGGCATCGTGGGGCCCCGTGTCTTGGGCAGAAGGAGCCTCCGAGCACAGCAGAGGCAGGAGGCGGCCCACTCCCGCCCAGCCTGGGCTTCCCCTGTGCCTGGAGTCAGGGAGAAGCAGCTGCCCCTGAGGAAGTCAGTGATGGTTTTGGCATTGTAGATGTGTCACCGCCACAGGCGGTACATCAGGGACCCCTTGTCCTGAACGAGCGGGCAACGAGGATAGCTGGGCAGGCCTGCCATGAGAGGCATCGCTGGCAGGTGGGACAGCTGCGGCTCGACAGCCCTGCTGCCAGCCAGAAGCAAAAGCCTCCGAAACCCAGCTGGATCCAGCCCTGAGACCCCATCCCCCTGCAACCTGTGCTGCCTCCTGGCCGTGTGGCAACGTGCAGAGACACCTGGTCTTGCATTCCCAGGGCCTGAGAGAACTTGCTGTAGCTCTTGCTTCTCCTTAGCGTGCGGATGAAAGCACTCCTGTCCCACCAGAAAGCTTCTGTCCCAAGTTCTCTGCCTAGCTGCTAGCGCATCCGCAGGCACGGCGGATGAAGCCTCTCAGCAGCAGAGTGAACGTATGCAACTCCGCAGCTCCATCTTCAGAGGCCGCATTTGCTCGTTGAGCTCCCCTGAAGCTGCACGCTCCCTGCAGGATTGTCCCCGCACAAACAGCTCCCCATGAATATGTAACGTCCAATCAGCTGAAGAAAAATGGCTGCTTCCAGCCTGCTTACCCTTGCTTTTTTCTGGATTGCTGCGTGTGGCTTTAATTAAACCTGCTATCGTTATTTTGCCAGAAAGATGGCTCTCCCCACTTTAAATAATACATACCTAAAGCCAGCGTGTAGATAAAGCCAGTGGATGATTCTCTCTCATTCCATATTCATTGCAAATATTTAACGCGCTATCTTGGCCTGTAATACAGAATATCAAAGGCTTAATTTACCTGTTCGTTAGTGCTTGAAGCAGAGAGGCTTTTTATATTTATAAAATCCATTATTTTTCAGTGGAGATTTTCACATTTATCAAATCTAATTCATTTCAGAGCAGAGGGATGCGCCTCAAAGCAGTCACCCAGGATGACGCTCTTACTGCTTTTGACATTGCAGCTGGGGTTGCACCAGAGTCCATTGCTTTCTGATTTTGCCAACCTTGTCCCTGGGATAAATAGTCTCTGCCATCAGTGTTTGAATGTAATCCCCTTCCCCAGCCCCTTGCTCTTACATACGTGCATGCAGCCTGTAGAAACAATGATCTCGGTTTTTCTTCAGTCCTCAGTCTTAGGGGATTTACCTTAGGGGTAAAACATGGACCCGGGTGGGACTTGTCCAGAGAGAAATGTCCAGGCCAGATGACAAAACCAGGCCCGAGGGGTCACCCCGATAAACCACATGGTTTGGAAGAGCTGAAGTGTGAATGTTTGGTACATGGAGACTTACGTAATGTTTGGCGGCGATGCAGAAATCCTTGTTGCTCGTAAATGAGAGTAAATTACAGTTTTTAAAATAATCACTGGTTTGGGCTTGAGGAATGCAGCACAGCCAGCAGCAGCTGTGGAGTGAGGCAGCCGCCGCCTCCAGCTCGTCCAGCGCCAGGTAGCACAGCCTCCGCAGCAGCACCTCCCCTGGAGAGGGGCGACGGCCGGCACGGCTCCATCCCACCTCCTGGTCATTTGTGCCCAGGGGCTGGCTGGGCCATGCAGAACCCGGTCATCCGCATGCTGCTGCCGGTCGTTGGCACCGAAGAGAACACGGGGGGGATGGAGGTTAATACGGTCCCCGGGAGAAAAGCACCTGTGTAGCCAGGAGCAGTGCAGCCCAGATGGATCCTGCTATTCCCCAGGGCATCGTCTTCTGCGTGAGCTCTCTAGATCGGCGGTGAAAATCCAGCCACGTAACCCTGCTGGCTCCTCTCCTTCCCTCTGGCTTTTTGCAAACGCCTGATCTTTGCTCTTCATCCTTTGTTCCAAAATTTGCTTTAATTCTCAGAAAACCAACTCTGCTTCATGCTCCAAAAGATGTTCTCGAACATTTTCACAAAAGCAGGGATCTGTCAGCCTCTGTCACGTCATAAGCAGCAGCGCGGCCTGATCAGGGAGAGTGCAAAGTGTACAGACAGAAGGCCTTTTCCTACCTGTGCTTATTAATTACAACTCTGGCTGAAAACCAGGAGCAAATGCTGGCATTTGTCTTTGCAGAAAAAACCTCTCTGAGGCAATAAGGCCAGGCAGTCCTGTGATGAGCTCTGCAGGGCCTGGCACAGCCGCGAGAGACAGTCTAATTGCCCTGTCTGCAGTGGGGAAGCCAGGGGATGCATCTCTTCCCTCAAATGCACATGCTCGCTCCTGTCTTGTAATGAGTGATTACCCAGAACGGCGACAGCCCCGCACCTCTGGGCAAATGGGGCTGGAACTGCTGAATGACTCCCCACTGGAGACCTTGTTCTCGGACTGCTGGAGAAGTTCATTCCAGATTGCTAGCTAAGGGGGTTGCAGGTACAGTACATGGTGCTGCTCTTTCAGTGCCAGGGTACCTTGTTTTCACACCGTGTCCATCTAAGTGGAGGGGGATTGACCGTCTGCCCCCACCCATTGTGCTTTGCATTGGGCAAGACCCTGCATTGAGGCTTTTACTGGTAACATCGTTGTGGCTTGAACCCAGCTCTCCCCAGTGAAGCCACGTTGTTCTCCACGGAGCTGCCTGCCTCCATGTCACAGGCAGCTGGCAAGCAGGAGAATCCGATCAGCCCAGCCTCCTGGCTAATCCTCTTGTGCTGTTCACTGCCCCCTTGCCGGCACCTCTAATTGGGAGTCTTTTTGCTTTGTTAGAGCATCGTGGTCCCCCCTCAGGAACCAACTCGGCCAGGCAGAGCCCCGCGCTGCAGCACCGAGCCCTGGGACCAGCACAGCCCAACCCTGCGACCACAGACAGGTACACACAGCACCAAGGTGCTTGGGGCACCAGGATCTGAGTGCAAGCAGAGGAGCTGACTGGTGGGACCCTCCAGTCCATGTCCCCATTGGGGGCCTGCATGCACAAGTGGGTCAGGCAGAAGGTGCGTTGGCCTGCAGGCAGCCCCCATCCTGGTGCAGAGGGCAGCCCCTTCAGCCATGTCTAGATGGGGCACATGGAGTCTAGCCCTCAGGGGACTCCGCGTCTAGGTGAGCGTGATGTGACCAAGTCTCTGTTCCTCTGTCCTGCAGGGGAACCACAGAGGGCGATACCGGGAAGGACGCGTCTAGCACCTACAAGGTCTCCTGGCCAGAGCACAAGCACTTGGCCCAGCCTGATGCAGGCATTCCCTCGGTGGTGGGCAGCCGGCATTCCCAGGTAAGGCACCACTGTGGGGGCCAGGAGCTACACGCAACCCGAGGGAGCTCAGGCAGGGGCAGGCTGCACAGCGTAATGCAGCACTCCACAAAGGTGCTGGGCAGGCTCCGAACGAGCGGGTCTGCCTGCCGTGCAGCTGTGCTTGCTCAGAGCCTGGAGCCGGCATCTGCAGTTAGCGTGGTGCTGCCCGAGCTAATTAGTCAGCTGCTTCTCGGCAAGCTAATTAGTCATGGCAGTGCCCTGCACGGCTGCAGCCTGTGCCACTTCTGGTTCAGGAGTGAGCAGGGTATCTCCGTGGTGCTGCATCGCCCTGTTTCATGGGGGCATGCCGTAGCATTCAGCCTGCTGCCATCTGTGTACCAGGGGCATCGGATGTGCTCCCTGGCATAGACAGCTACCAGCCTGTTGCAGAGGAGAGATCCTGCTGATGGACATGCTGGCTAGGCCCATGTCGAGCAGAAAGGAGGTACTGCTGCTACAGCGACCTGTTCTAATGTCACCTGTTACACATGTGCTCTAAAGACATGACTGATCATTCCAGCTGTAATGGACACAGGCCTGTGAGTCTGGGCGACTGCACAAACCCATAGACCTTCCCTGTCTAAAAATTGATGCGTAGCTAAGAAACAGCACAAGGAAAGTGCTCCTCCAATTTTGACTGGGTTCTGCCTCCTCTGCCCCCCCCCCCCCCCAC